CCACTGTGTTTCTAAATTCACCCATCTATGCGGTGAACGGTTTACGCAGTGCGAATATGAGTCGGAGAATGGCACAACAATTAAACTTGTAAACAGAGATATAGTAACGTGGAAATTGTGCAGATGATGCAGAAAGTGAATTCACTCATAACTATCGAAAATTCACATCCGTATCTGTAATCCATGCACAAAGCCTGTTAAACTACGATGGTGTTTGTTTTGTGTCCAATAGCTACGGGTTGATATAGTCATTCTATCGAATTGAAAAAACAACATGTATATCTATACTTTTCACATGAAACACAACCGCGGGAGCACAGTTCACATCTCAGACAAGATACTGAGTCAAGAATCTAGCGAGTGTCCTGCCCATCTGACGACACTCACCAAGATCTTATCATAATCGGCTGCTTCCCATTTGATCCAGGAGATAACAGGACTGAGATTTTCATTCTAACCATCCAATGTAAAGTTGAATGGGTTCCGCTTCTTTACTTCTGATAGTAATAAAGGGACGTCGCCTAAACGATACGCTTAACCTTACAAAGTACTTTCTCGATAGTGATTGTCCTGGCCAACCCAAAACTAGCACAACGAACCAACCAGGCAATGTTGCTGGCTTGTTCCAAAGATTTTACCCGACGACAAATTGTTGAAAACGCCTGGATGTTACTGTCCACTCAACTTTGGTCATCTATAATTGACAAACATCGCTGAGTTGTTCACTAAAATACGATTATTGGTGGGCGTTTTTCAACTGTAATCTATTTTACGGACTTGTGAAACAGATAAAGCTTTTAAAGCATACCCCTGTTTCTTTAGATTTTGCGTAACGAATTATGGGCAATATACTACGGTACCATTGGTTTTGAATTCCTTAAAGTTTGTTTATTGTGTAATCCAGTGTAAAAGGACTGGATTTCCAAAACTGGTTGTTACGGACTTGTGAAACAGATAAAGCTTTTAAAGCATATCCCTGTTTCTTTAGATTTTGCGTAACGAATTATGGGCAATATACTACGGTACCATTTGTTTTGAATTCCTTAAAGTTTGTTTATTGTGTAATCCAGTGTAAAAGGACTGGATTTCCAAAACTGGTTGGGATAGTTGTGATAGCGACTCAACAATCAACCTGAAGGGGTGTAGTTTCGAAGCCATCCGATTGCGACTGGTTGCTTTACATTTCACCAGAAAGGATTAACAAAGGTAAGAAACATATTGTCAAAATGAATCCCGCCAAAATGCTTAGAATAACTACAAACACAGCACAAGCTTGTCAAGGAGTGGCAGTTCCTCACACTTCCGTTTTCGTCAAAATGGTATTAGCGAGGGAGACGAGAATTTGTTTACGCCTGTGGGGAAAAAATCATGCAATTTGTTTACTCAAAATTTTGATTGCACTGAGATCCTTAATAGATGTTGAAAATGGGCTTTCCAGAATGCTTGCAAATTGAAATATCAAGGTCCTGAAAAAAATGTCCTCCATCGGAACCACATACATCCAGTGTTACCAGGGGAACCCAACTACGCTAATCAATCGAAAAGATCCTTATTGCAAAAGGGTTTTAAGTTTTGTGGCCACCGTATTTTAGAAGGAAAAAGCAATGAAATTCGGTGGTCCCGCCCCATATGCGACCTTAGTTCACCAGGTAGCTTCAAAGGAATCATAACTACCCTACTCTGCTAAGTAATCACACACCGTTACCTCCAAACAGCATCCCTCCCGCCAGAAAAAAAGAGAAAATAATATGGTGAAATGCACTCATCCGCATACCTATTTGGTTTTGTCAGGAGACTCATCTGAAACCCAGCTGAATCTCTCGTTTATGGTGTTTTCAAGTAACTGAAGATGTTGAACAAGTTCGCCCCTCGCTTCACTTGGTACAATATTCCAGATATCGTGATACATTTGTAGACGTAATAAACTACTACTAGGATTGCTGGATACTCATCGACAGCGCACGACCGATTTTCTTCATCAGGTACGTTCAGTCCCCGAGTTTCTGGAAACAACATACACAAGGGATTTGGATGGGATCCAGGTGAGTCTCCCGTCAGAATTGATGTTCAACTAAGTGTATTTCGCCAATGTCGTGTATTTTGGTTTGAAGTACAACAAAAACGTTGACAGAGACTCTGGGATTGCATCCACCTGCTGAGCCCTAATGAAGATGAAACCTGTCGTGAGCTGTTTTCAGCAACTTTATGAGTGGTGTATTACTTATATAATACGGTGATGAATCAGGAGGCTATCATTCTCATTCACACAAGTTGTATGAATTATTTGCTATATTCATGTGTTCCATCGCCATCCTCTAAGGAGTTGTCATGAGCCATCCATTAGCTTTTCTGTTTTTTTTCTGAGAAATAAAATAGATGTTCAGCGTGATTTCGATATTGAGATATTCACTTGCATCAGAGAACACGTGCACGAGAGGGTTTTTGCCGCACTAAACAAACGGGATCGGCCATAAAACGTAGGAGGAAACAAAGTGATCTTTCTAATCCATTCACAGCAAAGTTTTGAGGGATTAGAAACCTGTAGAAGTTAAATGGCAAAAACTACCGTCCTGATGTTGGACGAAAAAAGGCACAACCAGCAAACCTCCGATTTGCCTTTATACATTCTGCCCGCTTTTTTCTTAGGGTTCCTCAGGCTAATATTTTTTGTAAGCCAAAGTTATATTTTTCTCGTCGTAAGAACACTTCAAATTCTCAAGTTCAAAAAAGGACGGAATTACCTGAAAACGACGAAAAAAGATAAATGCTTGAATGCAACTCCTAGATAGGCAGCAAGAATCTCAATAATTCTTACAATGTTATGTAGTCAGTTATTAAAATTCTCAATTTAGACATAAGATATTTCACACCACTTAGTTCTACACGTGATATCGTTTATAAATCCTAGCAGTAATATATATGAAACCACTTGGTACAGAAATATTTAACGGAACTGTTCAGTTGGTGTTTTTTGGTGGGGGGATAAGTACTGGCTCTACAAATGGATATCATGCAATGATCCCGCCTGATCCGAAGGCAAATTGTTTTGACTGATACTTATCATGAGTGTTGTTTCAGAAAGCTCGCTCGCGTGTTTAGACAAACAAATAATGCACCGTCTTTTGCGTAGATGTAGAGTGGCCTGCATTTGATCACACATAACAGCTCTTTGCTCCATTTGTGTAATGATACACTTTATTACCTACACTTTGCGCCCCGTAATCGTGAGGACATTCTTTCATTTTTATGAAGACAATGTAACCAGAGAGCTGGATGCGATATATACTCTTGTGATGGCTAGTTTCTTGCGAAATAGGACAAATCCTTGTAGTAACAGTTAAGAAGAAACTTTCATTTCCTTGCGTGGTACAGTGAGCAAGCAGCGTAGCCGACCTCATCAGCTCAAATGCTCTCGCAAATTTACTGTGGCTTCGTTATTATGCTTCTTATATATATCGGCATTTTGCTGGTAGGGACGACAGTGATCGTACCTGAAGTTGATTGAAGACCCCGAAGGACAGGACTCACCGCAGATCCTAGTGGCACACATGTTATCATTACCTGGCCTGACTTCCTAGCTAAAGTTCGCGCACGTTTGCACTATGGGTTTATGTACGATAAGTCTCAGAACGTATTGAAATCACTGGTGACGCCCTACCATAATATGACGCTCAGAAGTATCTAATTTAACACTTTAACAACTCTTATCTAAATTGCTTTCCTCAAGGACATGAAGCCCGTTCTTACTGGGTTACTATGCTCTCTTATTCTTACCACTATTTACTATGGGTGTTCCTTCCATATAATACTAAGGAGATTAAATACCAGCATGTATTCCTGGTGTCATTCCGTCGCGATGAAAAATTTTGCTGTTCTCCATATATCTATAAGATTTGCGCACTCCCGACCCTTGCTTTACTGTTTCTCCTCCAGTGAATGACAGCAACAGTGGCATTTTGAAATCTGCTATTGTGTCATCCCTTAGTACCCAGGGATGAAGTGGAGTGTGACGTGCTTCTCTGCACCTCGGTAACTGATCGGCTTATACCATATCTATTTGATGCATCCAGTTTCCACCCCCGAACAGCTAGTTATCCCAGGTGTAGAAAAATGAAAAGTTCTACGAGACAGCTGAGTGTGTACGCAGTACTCAGTGTTCATACAACAGTGTAGTAAAGTTGATTTCGAGCGAACCCATTTTATTCACGTGGCCAACTATGAGAAACATAAATAACTGACACCTTTGGGAGTGGGTTCAGTCCCCTGTAGATGGTTCATGATGGCTCAGTGGCTGGAGCGCGAATTTACAGAGTGGGTTCAGTCCCCTGTAGATGGTTCGTGATGGCTCAGTGGCTAGAGCGCGAATTTACTGATCGAAATCCTCAAGCGTTGAATCTAACCTCTGCATCTAGACTGCTCCTTTTTAGGCTGGGAAAGCCTGACAGTATCTCATGCCTCATGTTTACTTCGGGCAGGGTATCACATGGGCACTGGAACTGTGGTACAGCTGGAAGACCATGTTTGCATTATTACAAAGTGTGGCCCGAAATCCGAGTCCACGATGACATGAGTTATTACTGATGTAAAATATAGGAATGATGTTGAAAATTCTTTACAGCTAACTGAACACAACTAGCAAAGGTTATGTTTCGGGATTTGATTGAGTGCTTGAAGTTAAGCATCGGTGTTGAACACTGATGTCATGCTGTCGATGAATGAATGAATGATGATGAATTGAAGTGTCCACGGGTATCCACAGGAATCTTACCTGACTAGTCCGTGGGATTTGTGCTGTGGACGATTTCACGTAGACTCAAATCGAGCAAGCCCGAGTTGATTTACAGTTCTTCGAAGAGCCAAAAGACCTCATGTTGTGCGTAAAAACGGTGATCTACCCCTATGCATGTATCAGATACATGTATATTAAAATTACCTGATTACTTTGGATACTGATACCAGTTAAATGTACAACGGGTTAACTACGGAATGTATTTACTTACGGTTACGTTTTCTGGGTTTTTGTAATCCAAAGAGGACATCGAGTACCCAAAGAGTGCTCCGTTGATTTCGTTATTGGTACGTGCTAGCGCTCGGACGTCCACAGTAATCTTACTGCACGTTGAATCAAGGGACCGGCACCAGTATATTTCGCCATTTTCACCGGATTTTGGAGAGCCTATGATTATTCTACAGAAGTAGTGTTTGTTCCAAGAGCATATCAACACTTACCCCTTATCACTGTTTGGTTTCGTGTGCCCAACAAGTGAGAAACCGAATGATGTGTTTACTGACCCCAACTTGAGTATTGGTGCATTAATGTCGATATTGAAGGAATTAGTGACAATGACGACGTGTAGTACGCACACAATATACGCTAATGTAGCATTCATCCCGAGGAGCAGTTCTACGAGTCACGTTCTATCATTTCGAAATGTGCGTGGCGTTTCAAGGCCAAAATAATAAGACTACCAGTTCAATTTATAGATTCACGGATCCACGGATTGATACACAGGATCGAGGCTATTGCCCAAGTTTCACGGGCCGGTTTTGTTCTTGTCGGTCAGTAGCTATCGTTCAAAAGAAGGGCACAAGTGAAAAAAGGGTGCAGCACTGCTCTTTATGTTCTCAGCGTGGGCAGTATGCTTGCCAGCGCGAGGATTCGCATAAATGAATGTCTAATTGTGCTTTAAACTGGGTTCTAGAAGGAACGTGGACAACCGTCAGAGGAAGGTCATCCACGCAGCTACTACCCGAAATGAGAAAAAATTTTGTCTAATGAACATGTGTGCTCTGAACTTGAAAAATTCCTTACTGTGTCCCCGCCGGGAGTTTGCTTGGTCACCGGTAAATAATGATGCAATGAGAAGGACATGTTTGAAGAGAGCCAGACACCTAAATATTTTTGACATCTGTCATCCTGATGTCCACTGGACTATTCCCGCAGTACAAGACAGAGACCTTCATTGAGCTCCTCAGAATGACATATGGACGCACTTTTCGTCATTCAGAGAAAGGCATCAGTCCATCGACCAATACTTTATATCGTCTACATTCTTTTGAAGGGCACTGCCAATTTAACCCCAGGATTCCAAGTCATCTGGCCCAAAAACGGAGTCCTCAGGAGCTCCAATGTAAACCGGCGCGGGGAAGAAGTAGGTCGATCCTACTTTCAGTCCAAATGTCCTATCTGATAGGAACACCTAAATTCAGCTTGGAGTTTCCCTTTGAATCCCGTAAGACTTGGATCGTGGACCAGACGGGCGCGTGCCGCTCTATCGAATGCATAGGAGAAGTTGATAAATATGGCATCCCACGTGAGTCTCTCACGCTTGGCTGGGGTTAGCCTGTCCATGAATGCGAGCATATTCATCACGCATGAACGGTTGGGAGTAATCTGGCTGAACTGGGGATGTCAAGTTTTTGGTAGTAAAAATATCTAGAATGGCCAGTTTCAGAACGCCTTTCATCGCCATTTGCGTTACGCTAGTGAGGAGAATGGGTCTGTAGCTACTGAATGATGGTCAGTCGCCAGTTTTGGATATTGGCTCGACAATTGTTTCCTTGCAAGCAGAAGACGGTCACTTTCGTCATCAGATAAAAACCTAGTCAGCGTGGACGCCGTTTCCTTCAGGATTCCTGGATGGCCCCAACGCTTGGAACCGGTTTGTCTTGTGTAAGAGTTGACGACTGTCCTACTTTGTGAAGACCAATTTGGTTAGGGGCCATTCGCAGCTGGACTTCGACAATATTTGGTGTGAAGAGGTCTCTTGGACAGAATAAAGGCCGGCAAAGTGTTCTCTGTAGACTTCAGACACAACTGTTTGGTCAACCGTGAATTCTCCGTTCCTGTCTATCGAGGAGAACAAAGTTGGCTTATTTCTCGTCAATGCCAAACGCATTGAACATCGCGTCTGGCTTGTGAACTTTCTGGACAATGATCCTGTATGGCTCTTTCACTGGAGCTGGTCTCAGTTTAAAATAATCACAAAATATGCTCATTCCCGAGAAGTCTGCGCGGTAGAGGATTCGAATCCGTGTTTGAGGCCCGGGGGTTCCTGGACCAGTAGCAGATGAAACCAAACTCAGCATACAGTGGTCACTCTCTCCTAGTGAGGCGGTACTTAACACCTGATCGTTGATCATTCGTTGGTGATGACCAAATCCGAGAGGGCTGTTGGTTGGCCTGCGCACTAGCTGGTGGATGTGATAACATATTGTGTGTAAGCGCTTCGTTCAAAGAACTTGGTCAACGCCCCTGAAAAATGTCCACCAGACACGATGCGCTAGAGGACCGTCCAGGAGGCCATGTGGGCGCGAAAATCACCTGCCATCGCGGGATATGTGAAGTGGCAGCTGAAAGTGTGTTGTTCGAGGATTTTTATGGGGAATTGGTCATCTTCCGGAAAACTCGGGGGACAGCGGCATACCACGCCGAGAAGAATAGAAATGATCCACAATGCGTCGCAAAATCGTGAGGAGTGGTTTCGAAGAGGACAATCAGGATGGTTCCTCCTCTCCAGCGCCGCTCTTCATTGGAGTTTCTCAAGGCTCTGCTATGGAACCACTCCTGTTTCTGATCTACGTCAACGACCTCCCAGACTTTCTTGCGAGTCCATGTCTACTTTTTGCGGACGACTTGAAACCCTGGAGTTCCTGTGCAGGTGCCCCCCAAATGGATGTATACGGTGCCAAACAGTGATCTTTGGACTGGCACCTTTCTCTGAATGATGAAAAGTGCGTCCATATGTAGTTTGGAGGGGATTCAGCGAATGCCATCGTTAGGCATGGTGAAAAGGGACCGGAGAATATCATGGGGATAGATGCTAAAAAAGATTTGGGCATCTGGGTCTCCTCAAACTTATCCTTCTCACTACAGGATTGAGAAATCGACCCAAAAGGCATTCGCAATTTTACTGGTGATCCGACGCACCTTCTCCAGTATTACCCGCATGGAATACTAAATACTCTATGGGGCCTACGTCAGACCGCTCCTGGATTACGTCACCCGTATTGTCTTTTCAGGACGCACGAAAGACATAACTCTCATTGAGCACGTCCAGCGAGCCGCTACGAAAATGGTTGCCGGCCTCAATTCCGTGGACTACGAAACCCGTCATGCGGTGCTTGTTCTCTTTCATCTGAAGTCTCGTCACCTCATAAGGGACCTAACTCTTACTTACGCCCTGTTTGAACAAAGCTTGGGAAACAGGTTATTTACCGTTGACCAAGCAAACTCCCGGCGGGGACACAGTAAGGAATTTTTCAAGTTCAGAGCACACATGTTCATTAGACAAAATTTTTTCTCATTTCGGGTAGTAGCTGCGTGGATGACCTTCCTCTGACGGTTGTCCACGTTCCTTCTAGAACCCAGTTTAAAGCACAATTAGACATTCATTTATGCGAATCCTCGCGCTGGCAAGCATACTGCCCACGCTGAGAACATAAAGAGCAGTGCTGCACCCTTTTTTCACTTGTGCCCTTCTTTTGAACGATAGCTACTGACCGACAAGAACAAAACCGGCCCGTGAAACTTGGGCAATAGCCTCGATCCTGTGTATCAATCCGTGAATCCGTGCTCAAGGTGGCTCTTGAGCTGATTGAGTGTTTTGTTTGTTAACTGCTGCACAATATACGCGGATACAACTAAAGATGATTTGATCTAGTCTGTCATCGTTTACGCCTTTGTTCTTTCCTTTTATTTTTCCATGTTTCCTCCCTTATTCCACTGCCTGTGAAGATGTGACAGAGTGAAAATGATCTTTAGATGACTGTTTAACCGCCGAGATGGAGACTTTTGAAGCAAACGGGTGTCTGAATATTAAAGATGAGTGAAGTTCCTGCTGGGAAGGCATAATAATGAGGTAGCAGATTGAAGTTAATTTGTTGGCGTCAAAGCGGACGCTGAGGATTTTGTGTTACAGAAGAAGTTGGATAATGCAAGGCATGTTCGCTATTTGCTCACCACGAACACACAGAACATACCTGACTTTGAAGACAGTGGAGTATCTGTCACTCACGGATTCTCTGGAAGTCGTTTCATTGGTTCGTCGCTACTTAAGTGTAGAATGCTGAGCAGCCAATTTTTGATTTTTGCGGTGCTCCCTGACACCCCTTGTTAAGGCTACCGTAGTTTTGACAGTTCCAAACACAAAAGGGAGAACTGGTTTCAGAAGTCAAGGATGAAATTTCCAGGAAAGCGGGCAAAATTATGCAACAAACCTCGGCTGCCCACGTCCGTGGCGTCATCAAATGAGCAAACCTGTTACCGACGGGTGCCGTCCAGTTGGTACCCAATGTAACGATTAGCTGAATGTTACCTCCTTGGTTGGTGTTGTGATGTTCTCGATGACAGTAAATGGCGAAGAACAGGTAATGGTGGGTTCNAGCGTGGACAACCGTCGGAGGAAGATCACCTACGCAGCTGCTACCCGAAATGACAAAACAATTTGCCCAATGAATGTGTGGGCTTGAAAATCTTCTTACCCTGTCCCCCCTGGTGTTTGCTGGTTCAGCGGTAAAAAACCTGTTTTCCAAGCTTGGTTCAAACAGGGCATAACTAAGAATTAGGTCCCCTATGAGGTGACGAGAATTCAGATGAAAGAGAACAAGCACCGAAAGACGGGTTTCGTAGTCCACGGAATTGAGGCCGGCAACCATTTTCGTAGCGGCTCGCTGGACATGATCAATGAGAGTTATGTCTTTCGTGCGTCCTGAAAAGACAATATGGTTAGCGCACTCAACGAGCTGTGACTTGGGCCCCATTGGGAATTTTGGATTTCATGCGAGTAGTACGAGAGAAGTTTGCCGCATGTTTCGCAGGATGGTGGATTACTTCTGAGACAATTTCTCATGATGCAATGAGAAGGACATGTTTGAAGAGAGCCAGACACCTAAATATTTTTGACATCTGTCATCCTGACGTCCACTGGACTATTCCCGCAGTACAAGACAGAGACCTTCATTGAGCTCCTCAGAATGACATATGGACGCACTTTTCGTCATTCAGAGAAAGGCATCAGTCCATCGACCAATACTTTATATCGTCTACATTCTTTTGAAGGGCACTGCCAATTTAACCCCAGGATTCCAAGTCATCTGGCCCAAAAACGGAGTCCTCAGGAGCTCCAATGTAAACCGGCGCGGGGAAGAAGTAGGTCGATCCTACTTTCAGTCCAAATGTCCTATCTGATAGGAACACCTAAATTCAGCTTGGAGTTTCCCTTTGAATCCCGTAAGACTTGGATCGTGGACCAGACGGGCGCGTGCCGCTCTATCGAATGCATAGGAGAAGTTGATAAATATGGCATCCCACGTGAGTCTCTCACGCTTGGCTGGGGTTAGCCTGTCCATGAATGCGAGCATATTCATCACGCATGAACGGTTGGGAGTAATCTGGCTGAACTGGGGATGTCAAGTTTTTGGTAGTAAAAATATCTAGAATGGCCAGTTTCAGAACGCCTTTCATCGCCATTTGCGTTACGCTAGTGAGGAGAATGGGTCTGTAGCTACTGAATGATGGTCAGTCGCCAGTTTTGGATATTGGCTCGACAATTGTTTCCTTGCAAGCAGAAGACGGTCACTTTCGTCATCAGATAAAAACCTAGTCAGCGTGGACGCCGTTTCCTTCAGGATTCCTGGATGGCCCCAACGCTTGGAACCGGTTTGTCTTGTGTAAGAGTTGACGACTGTCCTACTTTGTGAAGACCAATTTGGTTAGGGGCCATTCGCAGCTGGACTTCGACAATATTTGGTGTGAAGAGGTCTCTTGGACAGAATAAAGGCCGGCAAAGTGTTCTCTGTAGACTTCAGACACAACTGTTTGGTCAACCGTGAATTCTCCGTTCCTGTCTATCGAGGAGAACAAAGTTGGCTTATTTCTCGTCAATGCCAAACGCATTGAACATCGCGTCTGGCTTGTGAACTTTCTGGACAATGATCCTGTATAACTCTTTCACTGGAGCTGGTCTCAGTTTAAAATAATCACAAAATATGCTCATTCCCGAGAAGTCTGCGCGGTAGAGGATTCGAATCCGTGTTTGAGGCCCGGGGGTTCCTGGACCAGTAGCAGATGAAACCAAACTCAGCATACAGTGGTCACTCTCTCCTAGTGAGGCGGTACTTAACACCTGATCGTTGATCATTCGTTGGTGATGACCAAATCCGAGAGGGCTGTTGGTTGGCCTGCGCACTAGCTGGTGGATGTGATAACATATTGTGTGTAAGCGCTTCGTTCAAAGAACTTGGTCAACGCCCCTGAAAAATGTCCACCAGACACGATGCGCTAGAGGACCGTCCAGGAGGCCATGTGGGCGCGAAAATCACCTGCCATCGCGGGATATGTGAAGTGGCAGCTGAAAGTGTGTTGTTCGAGGATTTTTATGGGGAATTGGTCATCTTCCGGAAAACTCGGGGGACAGCGGCATACCACGCCGAGAAGAATAGAAATGATCCACAATGCGTCGCAAAATCGTGAGGAGTGGTTTCGAAGAGGACAATCAGGATGGTTCCTCCTCTCCAGCGCCGCTCTTCATTGGAGTTTCTCAAGGCTCTGCTATGGAACCACTCCTGTTTCTGATCTACGTCAACGACCTCCCAGACTTTCTTGCGAGTCCATGTCTACTTTTTGCGGACGACTTGAAACCCTGGAGTTCCTGTGCAGGTGCCCCCCAAATGGATGTATACGGTGCCAAACAGTGATCTTTGGACTGGCACCTTTCTCTGAATGATGAAAAGTGCGTCCATATGTAGTTTGGAGGGGATTCAGCGAATGCCATCGTTAGGCATGGTGAAAAGGGACCGGAGAATATCATGGGGATAGATGCTAAAAAAGATTTGGGCATCTGGGTCTCCTCAAACTTATCCTTCTCACTACAGGATTGAGAAATCGACCCAAAAGGCATTCGCAATTTTACTGGTGATCCGACGCACCTTCTCCAGTATTACCCGCATGGAATACTAAATACTCTATGGGGCCTACGTCAGACCGCTCCTGGATTACGTCACCCGTATTGTCTTTTCAGGACGCACGAAAGACATAACTCTCATTGAGCACGTCCAGCGAGCCGCTACGAAAATGGTTGCCGGCCTCAATTCCGTGGACTACGAAACCCGTCATGCGGTGCTTGTTCTCTTTCATCTGAAGTCTCGTCACCTCATAAGGGACCTAACTCTTACTTACGCCCTGTTTGAACAAAGCTTGGGAAACAGGTTATTTACCGTTGACCAAGCAAACTCCCGGCGGGGACACAGTAAGGAATTTTTCAAGTTCAGAGCACACATGTTCATTAGACAAAATTTTTTCTCATTTCGGGTAGTAGCTGCGTGGATGACCTTCCTCTGACGGTTGTCCACGTTCCTTCTAGAACCCAGTTTAAAGCACAATTAGACATTCATTTATGCGAATCCTCGCGCTGGCAAGCATACTGCCCACGCTGAGAACATAAAGAGCAGTGCTGCACCCTTTTTTCACTTGTGCCCTTCTTTTGAACGATAGCTACTGACCGACAAGAACAAAACCGGCCCGTGAAACTTGGGCAATAGCCTCGATCCTGTGTATCAATCCGTGAATCCGTGCTCAAGGTGGCTCTTGAGCTGATTGAGTGTTTTGTTTGTTAACTGCTGCACAATATACGCGGATACAACTAAAGATGATTTGATCTAGTCTGTCATCGTTTACGCCTTTGTTCTTTCCTTTTATTTTTCCATGTTTCCTCCCTTATTCCACTGCCTGTGAAGATGTGACAGAGTGAAAATGATCTTTAGATGACTGTTTAACCGCCGAGATGGAGACTTTTGAAGCAAACGGGTGTCTGAATATTAAAGATGAGTGAAGTTCCTGCTGGGAAGGCATAATAATGAGGTAGCAGATTGAAGTTAATTTGTTGGCGTCAAAGCGGACGCTGAGGATTTTGTGTTACAGAAGAAGTTGGATAATGCAAAGCATGTTCGCTATTTGCTCACCACGAACACACAAAACATACCTGACTTTGAAGATAGTGGAGTATCTGTCACTCACGGATTCTCTGGAAGTCGTTTCATTGGTTCGTCGCTACTTAAGTGCAGAATGCTGAGCAGCCAATTTTTGATTTTTGCGGTGCTCCCTGACACCCCTTGTTAAGGCTACCGTAGTTTTGACAGTTCCAAACACAAAAGGGAGAACTGGTTTCAGAAGTCAAGGATGAAATTTCCAGGAAAGCGGGCAAAATTATGCAACAAACCTCGGCTGCCCACGTCCGTGGCGTCATCAAATGAGCAAACCTGTTACCGACGGGTGCCGTCAAGTTGGTACCCAATGTAACGATTAGCTGAATGTTACCTCCGTGGTTGGTGTTGTGATGTTTTCGATGACAGTAAATGGCGAAGAACAGGTAATGGTGGGGTCAGCAGACGAGGCGCGGAAACCCATGGGAATTTATGCCAGCTGCGTACACCCACGAATACGAATGCTAATATACAAATGTCGAGAAAAATGTCCGTTTTGGCAAGGTGAACGGTGCTTTCGGATGATGAAAGCCAGTAAGGATCAACAGTAGGTTTGGGGAACAGAACGATTGGTGAATTATCCCGATCACATGGTACATTAAATACTGCAACATTTTCTCTGCGCCAGTAGTCCTATTTATTCTCCAGACAGCACAAGAGCCTCCGTTTAGTTATTGGACAAGTCTCAGCTTTTCGCACTTCCGGCGACGATGTGCTCTTGGGCTCCTTTTCTCTGTGCCGGAAGCATATTTATTTGCCACTATCTACACGGTTTGCAGCTACAGAGCGTAGTTCTTTGGATACGAAACCCATGTCTAGATACAGCACAAAAGAAAGCGCAGCATAAGCACATCCACCCACCAGTATTCCTTCTGGAAACAGCTTTCCTTGATGTGGTTGTAATCTTTAAAGCCACATGGATGACAACCCCATGTTTTGAATATCAAAACATTTATAGCAGTCAGACGTTTGGTTTTCCGCCTTTTGTTTTACCAGCAAATGAAGCCTGACGATCTCTTCACCATCCGCACGGAACTCTGCGTTTTCTCTCCAGGAAGGCTCGGTGACGCATATCCAATTCTCTGTGGTGAGAATATCCCCCGGGGTTTCTCACCATCGCCAAACTATCCACATCACACACAGAGGAAACAAAAATTGTCTGGCGCAACTGTGAGGTAGTTTGCGTTCACGTGTTTCAGTAGGTGACCCAGCAGGTGACCTGCTGGACCACACCAGTGACTATAGCTGATTCTAGTATGTATTGTACAACCATAGCGTTTGTTCTTCCATGTTAAACAAATCTGTTTACTTTGAGCACACGTACCCTTTTAATTCCTCAGTTTGCGTAGCAAATGCGCCCAATCAAGCGCATTTATGGAGTAAAAATGACATATGCCAATCCCACCACCTACCTAGTGTGGTCCAGTGTTACTTGTAAAGTTGATAAAAAAGACCTACTTCTAAGAGACGTTCTGCATCTTAAAGAGCGTGATTTACTCCTCTGTGGATTGTTTTATCAATTGCCATTCAACCAGCACTGATCAGATTGGTGGTACAGGGGTTTCCCTGTGATAGTCATCGATATGCAGCCATGGGAAAATTGTTTTAATCCCATTATCTTCAAGCACAAGTCCTCTCCCGAGGGCCCTCATGAACACCTGAGATGCGGGCTCTACCGATAAATCTTTCAGCGCCTTCAGTAATAGCGGATGAAACCCTCTCGATACCAAGAGCCTCATGGGTTTTGCTCACAGACATGTCGGGCTGCTGCATGCCGAACACCCACTAAGTTCGAACAATACCATTCGGGAGTATTTTTGGGAAAAATCAAGGTGAATTGCTGTAGTCGTTTCCGTATTGGTGCATACATTTTGTAACCTCTCTCGGTCTGTACATCTGTGTTGCTTTATACCGTAGCTTAGTGCATAACCAGTGGACCCACTCCGATTTCCTGGGACCTCTTCAGGTAGACACATGGGGTCACGAATTGATACACAGCGTCAAGGCTTATGTCCAAGTTCCACGACCTGGGCTTGTCCGGACGAATAAAAGTCGCCTCCCTTAATCTCTCAGCGTTAGCACGTAAGCTTGCTTCCGCGAAGTCCCACATAAAGACGTATATGAAGTGGTCTGAACTGCGCTCTGGATGGACAACTGCCGAAGGACTCCTATTAGCGCGCCATCCACCCAGAACGGGGAAACTCGTTATCCTATGAGGAGACGCGGTTTGGTCCCAAAGAATTCTTTAAAATATCACTGCAATGTATCCACGGTATCAGTGGTAAACCCCGTCTACCAAACCCTGTTCAAACAATGTATAAGCTATTGTTGGGTCTCCAAGTGGCACTGAAAGAAATGAAGTATAATCAGACGCGTTCTGTAAGCAACGGATGTTGGGTCTGCAACCATCTTCGTAGGAGCTCAATGATAAGCACACCATTTTTGCGACCAGCTTAGACACATGGTTTGGCGTGTTCAATAAGGGATCTGACGTAGGCTCCATTAGGTATCAAGGAGCCCGAAAGGCTTAGGTGCAGAGGGCGTGCCGAATGATCCGAAGGACACCTTATGTCCCTAGGTAAACTTTCATGGTGGAGTGAGAAGGGCACACCTAAGGAGATTCAGACACCTAAATATTCATGCTTATCTATATTTGTCTTCTCCTCCATTTTGACCGGGCAGGCTTGAGACGTTTACCAGGTCTCTCCCTGACGACCACCCTTCGGTTTTCAGAGGAGGCTCTTACTCCGGTGACTTCAGTTTTGGGGCATCGATACCCAGCCGAAGTGCGCTGGCGTATAAACTTTAGGATTTCCGGTCGTCTTCTAAACGTCACCATAGACTTAATTGCGCATCGGTAAATCTTTTGACACATTGAAAGACAAGACAGCAGGACGTAAATGTGAGGTGGTGACGAATCATGTAACTGCCATATGTTTGGATGTACTCAAAGATGAGTGGGCTGCTTAAATGTCTTTTCGCATTGTCCTTCTGTCCATCTAAGCCCTTTTGGCATTCCTTGAGCCTGATGACTCAGAATGCTGTGGTCGCCAACTAATACAAATCCTGCCAGCAACATCACAATGTAAGAATTAGGTTCCGCACGTATATCGTTATAACCAGACGAACTAGAAGTCCAGAACTAAGGGCAGCATAACAAGTAGCGCGTATGTATTCGAATTGGCGTATATATACAGCATATGGAATAACAAACAAGAAAATAATAAAAGGAGCAATGAAAAGAGTCTTAATTATATTCATCACAATAACCTATTAAAATTAACACAAAAATAATGACGCTCGTCTTTTCAAACACTGACAGTGTAGCGTGGGACGTCTGGAAGCCAGCGGTATTTGACGTTCGAGAGGATTTAGTGACGGCACACGTCAGTTCTGAAATGTGCAGATATAGAAATCAGTATTACTGAATCCACACGGCACGCACAGCACATATTCGCACAGATCGGGTGACACAGGAAAGAAGACCAGAGCGTGGCAACAACACACGTGTATTCAGTCGAAATCCAAATCGAACGTGTCGCGTGTACGAAGCTAGGTCGAGCTCAATCAGGGGGATGTACAAGCAGGATAGTCACACCTGTCGGGGGCTCGTGGTGGCTCGTCCGTGGTTACTGCAATAGGGAAAGAGAAAGATAGAGACATATCAGGTCACATGATAAACATGCAAGCAGATACAGTGGAGTTTCAGCTNGAGTTTCAGCTGCGTTACGAAAGCAAAGCAAACCACGCTTGAGCTTAGACTAATGGAAAATGTTAATAATAACTAGCCTTGGACGGTTTATTCGGTGGTGGGGATTGCTTTAGACAAGAAGGGACATAGAACTGGACATATCTGCAAGTTGGAGTAACAATAACATGTATCCGAAAATATGGTTCAAGAAGAAGCTAGGTCACCTGAACAGGGGCAACCAGCACGTCAAATGCCTATGTACGGCATGTCGCACTTAAAATGCTCGAGGCGACAACAAACCGTATTCTTCGAAGGTCGAGGGCCGAGCCACCTAGCCAGCAAAATCTAGAGTCCTCCAGAGTCATCTCGGGTCCAGTTTTTACTAGATTTCGCATGAGGTTTGCCAGTTAGTTTCTGCGTTCATCCATCGGCAGTATAATATAAGAACACGCATCAGGCTGCAAAAATCTGGGATGCTGTTAATGAGCATCATCACAAACGTCCTTTAGCCCGGGCAATCAATCATGACTGTTCTAGTTCCGAGTTGGACAGTGACTTACGGTCTTACGGCGGTATGATGGACGCTGCAATGCGTTAGGTCTACAGTAACCTGCACTTTGGCCGCAACAGGTCCATTTGACACGTTAGTTCCGCCTGAACCCACAATAGCAAGTAGAACCCCCCCAAAGATAGTGTTAGCGAATTGAGGAGGGTTGGTTCAAACCTTGACACGACATTTCATAAAGTTTCCTGGAAGGGTGGAATGGGCTGCCTAACTACAACTGTTGTAATTGATAGGTGACTGACCATTAGGGATGTATCATATTAAAAGTCAACGAGCTACTAATGGTCGGAACTGGGGATCTACAACGAGATATCAGCTTTTTTATGTCTGCTTTTTGGACGGCTAAAGGCAAAATGTCTGGCAGCTGAGCTAGTTTTCCTCATTGAGTTAATCTTTAAATGCTTGTATGCCGGACTGTTAACACAGAAAGCAGTGGTGAAACGATCGTCACATTTCTTGATCAGCTTGATGCACTAGCAACTTAAAAGATAAGTATTAGACATGTCTTCGTTCCGCTTGAGACAGAGGCAAAATGAGTAACGTGAAAGACGGTCACGTGTGTGTTCCTGAAGGAACAGAAGGCTCGCCGCTGCTGGCTGTTGATGACCGAAAGTGCACTTTCAGAGTGGGCATTTTAGTGAGCTTAGAGTGAGTGAGTTTAGAGTTCAGTTAGTGGTGTTTCCTCAAACTTGGTACGCGCAGATAAGGTTCGATAAAAATTTGGGTTTCTGCTCGCTAACTGTGATAACCGCGATGCCTCATCTTATTTTCGTTATGGTTCATCGAAGATAGCTTTTTCGGCAGAATTACGAAGATGTTGCATGCCTACTCCCTATCACAGGTGATACAATGTAGAGCTCAGTATTTCGCCTGCCTTTGAGCCTCGTGAACTAAGTTTTTTAATAGCCGATTCACATGGACGAGGCTGTCGCGGTCGCATGTACGTATGTGAAGCTTTCATTTCAAAGGTTACATAGTAATCATACAAAGCAGAAGACACTTGAGTAAGTGAGAATCGGTCCTGATGCCCCCAGCAAGTCATAGCAGGACAGGGTTATTTGCTGTGCATTTAGAAAAGATGGGGTTTGGGAGACCACCATGTGCTAAGGACAGAATGGTATTCTGATGGCTTAGCTTCACGCCGAATGCTGATGTTTGAGCCTTGGGAGTAGAAAGCATCGAATCAAACCCTGATTCCAGTCTTGGTTCCAGCCGATTACCACGTAAATGCACTAGTTAGTTTTGACAAGATTAATGGACGTATTTAGGCACACCAAGTCAATGTTCAGCTTTGATGATAGCCATATACTCAGTGACTAATCAGCTGATTACGAAGAGCTCAGAATACTCGGCACAAACACAAGTTGAAACGCCCCATAGCAGAGAATGACCCTCTTGAGGTAAGGAGCGTGTAGTATTGCGCTGTATACTGTGGAGTCGATTATTTGAACCCGTTTACAGTAACACGCGATTTGTACGATATATGACATCATGTATATCCAGTTTCAGATGGACTGAGCTATCCACAATGAAGTTCAAATCTGGACTTTAGCAGCGGGCACCAAATCGCTGAAGTCATGCTAACTGAGATTAGCAAATAATGTTTAGGTAACGAGGCTGGTTTTTGCAATACAATCAAGAGTCGGGTATATTAATACTCCACGAGATAGAACAGTGATCCGAAAATTCCGGAATCCGGTAATCACTACATAGTTTCGGAAAGAGTTGTTTCGCTGGGAAAAGGAAATGTCCAAGGAAATGTCACATCTGAAAAGGCCTTGTGCATACTTATGCATGCACTATACGAAGCGCAATTTGTGCGCACGTTTCGTATTTCAGCACAGCGTGGCCACACCATAAATGGCGGGAAATGATAATCCTGATTTGGGTTATTTCTCCTTCTGGACCATACAAAGGATTCACCTGTCATGAAGCCAATATGGGATCAGGAATTCGCCGTTACCAATCTTGTGGCACTCTTCTCTGTGTCTGAGTCCTGAGCACTCCCATCTTTTGAGCTGGTACTATCAGTTTATAACAGATTGTGGGCGTACAATGCAATCACCAAAGTATCTCCAACCAAGTCGGAAAGTGTCCGGATCATCAACGCTGCACTAACTGCCATGAATGCAGTTGGAGGCTGTAGTTGGAGCCTCGTAACTTCGTCAACAAAATCCATCAACGCTGCTGAGCATCATTGTTGATTCCTAAAATAAAGCCGCGAGCGTGGTTCTTCAAAAAAGTGACGACGATGGTCACTGTCGCTGGCTTACTTTTCACTGAACGTCTTTTAGGGGCCGGCAAACTCTACAGCACACTTGGCCACAAAATCGTCACTGGTTACATTACTTTCCGGTTCCTGCCGCGCGCTAGTGAAGATAGCCCGATTAAATCAGCCCCTACCACAAGTCTCACATACGCAGTTGCCTCTGAAGATTGGAAAAATTGATCTCGTTCCAAAGTTGGCTAGTGACACCGACCACTACTCCGGCTACGGTATTAATCTCGAAGATAATTTTAACACATGAATGCCGGTAAAGCGTGATAACTGAAAACGGATGGCGGTATTATACGTAAAGAACTTGCCTTTAAAGAGCAACCCATGGAAGTACAGGATAGAAGAGGTATCAAACTATGTGATACGTCACTGTTAGATCCGTGTTCCTTGGTACCCATTCGTATATGACGCATGTATCTTGATGTTCCGCATGGTCTGTCATGCGCTCTCATGTGTTAAGCAAGATACCACTTGTTTTCTCCTCCCTTGTTTTGTTTTAGCCCACCACCTCCAAGTTCTAACATCTGCATTGAACAACGCCCTCTGTTTATGACACTGTCAATTTACCGGGTAATCCATTGTGCCCACAAACCCCGGCAGTCGTGCTTTTGCTCTGGCTGTAACACTATGATCATGCCTGATGGCATGCCACACACCGGTTGGGAACAAACATCACAGTTATCATCATTATCACCTCTGCGGCCGATCGCCCAACGTCATTTTAGTTTTGTATCAACCATCACGCTCCTGAAGTGACCGGAACTTGCTTGGTCTATCAAAATCCAGGGGCCCATCTGTATTCGGCTAGCCTCTAGGCACCTTTTAGAAGCCCAATTTCCAGGTTGGCAATGTCAACCTAGATATCACTGCATCTCTGCCGCTCTTTGAGAGTTTTGTTCCCCGGTCCACCAGGCCCGGGACTATTTCCATTGATCTAATCACAGCGGTGTTCGCCGAGAACCACGAATGATTTAATTGGTGCCCGAAAAAGGCTACTCCAGTGTGTCCTGCTGCTACCGGCAACAGCTACGGATTTTGTTGCGCTCTCCCTGTTCGACCACTCTGAACACTCCAGTTGTGCCTGCTAGTGGCCCGCGTTCCGAGTACCTCATCTGCGAGTCAGCTTCTTAGAACGGTCGCCAGAGGTCCACAAATAACTACTATCCCACATATGCCTGACTAGGTAAAATCGTTGGTTTACGTTGTGCGCCCTACCTCGGGTTTATTGCGTGTCTCTGGATGGGCACCTAAAGAGCACCCATTAAAATCCGAGAAGAAATCCAGAAACAAGGAATTCTCGTGGGCTGATGGTAAGGGGTTACTTTCAACAACGATAATCTTACTGTCCCCTTTATTTTCTCCCGGGGAACGCAAGCGACCGGTGAAATACCTGCCAAACACGTTTGGCTGGAGTGTTACTCCGTACTGTCCAGAAGAAACGTTTCTTTTCAATATTCCCTTTTTCCGTCTAAACAATAGCTTTTCTACATTATCTGGCATATATCTTTGGCTGTCTTTTCTGTGCAGTGTTCTGCATTGCCAGAATAATGTACTTCAGAGCCTAGACGCCAGGAGCTTAGGTTTGGGACGCTTAAAAAATCCGATGAGCCTGAGACCTACACGGATCTAATCTACTCTGCTGCAGCAATTGCCCATAAGGGTACCCATACAGAAAAAGCTTGAGGTTCTGGGTCTAAGCCACCAAACTTCACATATTAGGAGTGAAAGATGTTTTTAGACTTTCATCTTCGGCACTGTTACCGAATGCGATCGCAGCCGTCAGTCATGACGCTTGTCTTGTCTCCCCCCTGCCCAAGCTAGGAGGCAGTACTTCGTGCTTTGCTTGAAGGAACAATTTTGCGTGCTTATTTGTTCAGACATTTTCTAGTTCTTGCCTACCTTCAATGCAATCGACCTCGGCCAATTGCGGGAAAATACAAATCCTCCCCATGGCAACAAAACGGTCGGTTTCATGTCTTCAATTCATTGTAGTAGTAATTGAGTTCAGCACATATAGCGGTATAACCAGGTGAACTAGAAATTAAGAAATCAACATGGCGAGAACAGCATCACGTATGTATTCGAATTCATTCATATGCAATGAATAGAGCATCAATCATGTTCATCATATATGCCCTCATTAACAATAATCTCATATAATTTACTAGTGGAAGACACCATTGGGAATGGTCATTATAATACATTCAGAAAACAGTGCAGCAGTCCACAGGTGTCAGCACCTAGAAATGCATGAGATTTTCTCTTGATCAAGTCTTCGACTGTTTGCCTCAATGGATACCTCAGGTCCTAGATGGGATAGCAAAATATCAAGTGTTGAAAAATTCTGATACAGTTGGACTTTAGTTGGAAGTGAGATGTGGCTCAATTGGTCAATGTGATCAAATATCGGAAAAAATTTGCAAAATCCGTGGTTTACCAGATTTAGTTATTTACCTCAGTGCCTGGCGACTTAGATCGGTTGGATAAAAAAGTGGATACAGGAGGAAATCAAACTCTGAATCTTTTCTGATCAAAAGTTGAAGTGAGTTTTTACGGATCTTTTAAAGAGTGACAGCTGAGTGTCCTTAATTTTTCACTGTACGCTTTTCAACTTTAAGTTCAGATAATGGAGAACCTACAGCGTCTAATTTGATGAGCGCTGCGCGATACCAAAATTTGGTTTGATGAACACAGATTTGATAAGCACAAATCCTTAACAATTTTCTGCGTTTAGCGAATTATGTTGTACTGCCTGCCAACAATTTGTCAAAAGCTATTCGGTAGATTTCTGCTGGCTAACTTCAGTGTCAAGCAAAAAGAAAGGTTAAGCCCTAGTGTGATACTTTTAGACCGCAACTAGTGTTCCATTCGGACCCACAAGATGGACAAATATGGTTCATTTTATGTTTGTTTCGGTCGAAATGGATTTGAATGTTGCCATAAAATGAGCTCAAAATCATCACTTCTTGCCTATCAAGTGAATTCTTGTGAACTATGCAAGTCGTGAAGTAGTCTTGTTTTACTGTTTGGCGATGAGGGCACTATTTTGGGATGATACAAGTGAGTTCATGTTTCCAATCCTAGTCACTAATTTCAGCATTTTTAGAACTTTCAGTAACCTATTACAAAATGGATGCATAACGACTGATTATATATGGTTGCAGCGTAAAACAGAGCCCAATTCATGAGTGAGGAAATCTCAGTAGTTTGTTTTATAGATTTGGACGGTTTTTAGCGATTGCCCGTTATCATGACAATATTTGGCATATTGAAAGCTGCGAAAGACACACGATCGTGTCGAGTGTGGCAGACCACCGATGAGTTGTCATCCCTATCTTCCGTTGATTAGTTAGCCACCACTTCCAGGAAACGTCATTTAGAGCTTTATTTTAGGGTTCAGTGACATGGATGATTTCTGGGCATCTCAAATTTAAACAAATGGAAACTGTTCAGTCAGAAACAGATAAACAATTATAACTTGGTCTAACCCAACACATCTAAGAACTAAGCATCTAGCGAATATTATTCCACCAAGCCTTTGCAAGCCTTTGTAAAATAATGTACGGATGTATAAAAATCACACTCCTCCCAAAACTGGGATTGTTTCTAGAGGGCAACCATACGCGCGGTGTGCATTGTGAAAATGATCGGCGTTATGGTCATTTGCGACGAGTCTGGCTTGGAGCTCAACATGACAACACTATTCAGTTTGGAGATTTTCTCTATTATGATAGTGTTCCTACACCTCCAATCCACTGTGTAGGACATTGTGACGGAGGTCATTAACGGTTGATTTTCGCAAAGACAAAATGTTATCTCATACCTATGGTAACGTACTTGATAAGTAAAACATATTTTTCAAACTTGAGTTTTTGGGAGTAACTCAGAGAACTCACAGAGAATACTGCTTGTGCCCAGCAAATAGAATGGGCATGAAGACGACAAAAAGCGAACAAGAAATTGTTTTACCATGTACCTACTTAAATCTTTCAAGTAGCAGATAACCATTTAAACTTGGCGTCCAAATCGGGTATGATCACCCGTGAGTTGCATCGTGGCATGTATAAATACATTAGAAGTAGATTACTAAACCTTAAAGAACAAGGATGAAAGACGTTTTGGAAGCTGAGTGCAAATTCGAAGTTCCCACAAATTATGCATCCTACAGTTAACACACAATTGTCTGACCTGCGCCCATATTGCTAAATGTTGGGTTGGTGTTCATAATGGGAGCAGATCAATAAAGCACCAAACTGTAGCTGAATGTGCGAACGCCTATTATTTACATTTCCAAGAGTAAAATAGAAGAAAAGGCATGGGAAATTCAGAGCGATATTAGCCAGAGTTTGTCAGTGACTGGAAAACTGAACACAACTAGAAAGCTACCCCAATACCTTATTAAGATAGTTACCCGTCAATGAACCAGGCAACAAGTTTTCAACGTGATTAGTGAGCAAATAATAAAATAAAAAAGTGAAATATGGCCAGATGGTAGCCATATCTTATCCGACCTACCTGTATGTTACCAGAAAGCCTAGGACAACATTTCCTAATGGTCGTAGGCTGAGAAATACAATAATCGACCAGAAAAGTTCATGTTCTATGCATTCATGGTACAGATCTGTTGGAAGATATTTTTTTGTCGTGACAGTTATCAATGAATCTCACACAGTTTTCCTCCTTATGTGGACACGCTGTTTAGCATGGGTGCTTGACAAAAGAAGGCCTTGCACATTTGTGTGCTGGGAGAAGATGCATAGTGAATAACGTTAGCGCAAAAGCCAATGAAAAATCCTGGGATGCAAATATGAGGTTCAGTCTCGGTTTATCACACAACCCGAGCAGGGGATTGGAAACAGATACCCTGAAAATGTTCACTCCCTCAGGCACTGAACAGATAATGATACAACATGGCTTCCGGAGATCTGAAAGATGCTACCTCCACATAACCGCATAACCGAGTTCGTGTTAAGTGACCCGAAGGGACTGGGGTTGCGTTCCAATTACCTGCAGTCATTACTGATGATGAGGTTTGACGAATGCTTGCCGTCTATTCTAGGCTGTTCGCGTGAACTCCTTCCATACACCTGTAAAGCGCAGTGAAAAGCAGCAGCTTTTGCTAATTTGCATTAACTGTAGCGTAAACAACGCCCCGTTTTCATCTTAGTGCTTTCCTGTAGTTAGTTGAACCTTGTTGTTTGGCATCAGTTTCATTATTGTTGGCTATGAATGGACCTGTTAACAGCTGTGTTCTTTTCCTATGGAAAGCCGACAATTTTTAATTTTTACTCATGCCTTTTTTGGCTAGTTCCATGCTAGCTTTCTGGAAGGCATTCGTACCAGCATACTGTGATTCTTTTTGATAGTCGAGGTAAACGAACTATTCAACCAGTCTCATTCTCTCCCAGATTATAAACGTAAACTCCGACGAGTTTTCCTTCCGATCCCATGAGCGGTCACAGACATAAGTTACGCTTTGGTACACGGAAAGTGGATATTCCCTGTGATGCAGTTGTTCGGAAGTGTGAAGGGTGTTTGTCGGGCGCAAGCGCTGTCTGGATTGTACCCGC